GTGAAAAAGCCGGGCTCGGTGGCTCAGCCTGTCATCCCGCGCCTTTGGGAGGCTGAGGTGAGTGGATTGCCCAAGCCCGCGGGTTCAAGACCCGCCTGGGCAGCGAGACCTCATCTCTACAATAAATCAAAAAATCAGCCGGGCGTGGTAGCGCATGCCTGTAATTCCGGCTACTCGGAAGGCCGAGGCGGAAGGATCGCCGGAGCCCAGCGGGTCGAGGCTGCGGGGGCCGGGAGCGACCACTGCACTCCAGTCTGGGCGACCGAGTGAGACTCCAACTCAAAAAAAAAAAGATGAGGCGAAGGAAACGCAAAGTAAGACTTAAAATATAAGGGATATGAGAACGCACCAGGGAAGGCCTCACCTTTGCACAGGTAGGCAGTCAATGCAACCAGCAGACAGCCGTCAACGCCAGCGGGTTTTTCTTGTTTACAGCAAGACTCACTGTCTACAAGGTAACTAACCTCAGGCTTCCTTCTCCAAACCACTCCAGGCAGATGCAGCCCAAGAGCTGGCAGTGCCAGCAGCATGGCCTTCTGGAGCCAACACGATAACCTTCCCTCCCTCTGTCATTTCATTCCTTCCTTCCCACCCTCTGTCGCCCCTCCCTCCCCCTCTTCTTTTTTCCTGATAGGGTCTCACTCTATTGCCAGGCTAAAGTGCAGTGGTGCAATCACAGCTCGCTGCAAACTCAAACCCCTGGGCTCACACGATCCTCCTGCCTCAGCTTCCCGAAGAGCGGGGAGTACAGGTGTGTGCCACCAAGCCTGGCTACTTAAAATGCTTTCTTGGCCGGGCGCGGTGGTTCAGGCCTATAATCCCAGCACTTTGGAAGGTCGAGGTGAGAGGATTGCCTGAGCCCACGGGTTCGAGACCAGCCTGGGCAACTTGGCGAGACCTCATCTCCGCAATTAAGAAAAAATAGCCAGGTGTGGTGGTGCATGCCTGTAAGGCTGGGGCGGAAGGATCATCTGAGCTCAGCAGGTCGAGGCTGCGGTGGCTGTGAGTTTGCTACTGTACTCTAGCCTGGGCGATAGAGTAAGATTTCAACTCAAAAAATAAATACAATAAAATCCTTCCTTCCTTCCTTTCTAGTAGAGACAGTGTCTCACTATGTTGCCCAGGCTGGTCTCAAACTCTTGGCCTCAAGCAATCCTCCTGCCCTGGCCTCTGAAAGTTCTAGGATTATATGCATGAGCCACTATGCCCAGCCAGGATCACATTTTCATGCAAAACTGCTGACTTTCAAAAGTATACCATTTCCTCCACTGCTAAATTATCGTTGTGTTTTTTATTTGTACGTGGTATTCCAACCACACATATTTTCTGAGCAGCTACTATGTGCCAGGAACAATTCTGGGTACAGGGGACATAGCTACTGGTACGAAGATCAGAAGTGAAACATCCTCATGGTCTTAATATTCCAGAGCCTTCTATGTGCCACTGATATATGGCGTTTGGTGCCATCTCTCTTATGTTGCCTTTAGTGGTGTGTTTTTCTTATCTGGCCAACAGAACCTAATTCCACGAGGGCAAGAAAAGTCTCATCCACTGGCACAATTTTGCATAGTGAGTTCAGCACAGAGCCAGATCTTGCGACTGAAAACCCTACATTGGGGGTGTCCAACCTTTTGGCTTCCCTGGGCTGCATCGAGTAAAGAGGAACTGTCTTGGGCTATGCATAAATTATATAACGTAGTTAGCATATATACATAATAAGATTTCTTTTTATTTTTTAATTTATAAAGTTTAGAAAAATGGGAACAATATAAAACTAGTGGGAAATTTGACCTTGTTCGTGTAAAACTCATCTATCCACGTCTGGCTTGATGGACGTGGTCACAATTCTTAGTGAGTTCTCAAGGTACTCGTCAGAAATATTTGTTCGAATTTTATTCTAAGTGGGCTTCAAAACTGCTCACACATGTGTGAGCTGCCAGAAAGCGATGTCATGAATAAGGAGTGACTGTGAACTTCAAAAATGGAAATATGCATGGGGTCACGAAGAAAATAAATACTAAAACACTCATGACATTAAAAGACTTTGTGGGACGCATGACTAACTGTCCTGGACTGCATGCGTCCTGCAGGCTGTGGGTTGGACGTGCCTGGACTACTTGAACTCTGCTGTTCACTGTGTTTGCAACCGGGGCACATGGCTTAACTCTCTGGGCTTCGGGTTCTTTATCTGTAAAATGTTCCACAGGTAAATCATATATCCACATCCAAAGTCGTACAAGCTTCTGGCCCTTCCGGACTGCTGTGGAAGGTCTGGACACTGCTGGACCACAGTGCAGTGGAAACACCTCGCCATCTCTTGCTTGGGCAGCAGTTCTGACTGTGCTATAACGTCACTGTTTCCGCTTTCGTTCTTACAGTCCCACAGGAATAAGTAAAAAGGTGAGGACTTGAATGTGGGCATCAGACATAAGCCCACACCCCACACATGGAACGTAAGTGACATAAGCGTGGAGCTCAATGGCTAGGCTGAAAGCATCGAACATCCCCCCCATAAGCAGACACTTAAGAAGCTCCTTGCGAAGTGAAGAAGCGAACACAAAAACATACATGAAGTCTTAGAAATAGGTCCAGGGTTAAGCTGGGTGTGGTGGCTCACGCCTATAATCCCAGCACTTTGGAGGCCAAGGTGAGAGGATCGCCTGAACCCATGGATTTGAGACCAGCCTGGGTAACTTGGCAAGACCTCCTCTTTACAATAAATCAAAAAAATGAGGTGGGCATGGTGGTGCATGCCTGTAGTTCCAGCTACATGGAAGGTAATGGCGGAAGGATTGTCTGAGCCCAGCAAGTTGAGGCTGCGGCGCCCATGAGCGTACCACTGCACTCCAGCCTGGGCGACAGTGAAACTCTAACTCAAAAAATAAAATAAAATATAAAATAAAAAAATAAAATAAAATAAAATAAAATAAATAAAATAAAATAAAATAAAATAAATAGATCCGGGGTTGGATTTTAAGACAAGAGGCAACTCAACTCTTTCACTCTCCGTTTTTAATGTTTTGGCAATAGCACCCTCCCTGACAGATGTAGATGGCCTTCTTGTAAAGAACCCTTCCCAATGTCATAAGTTAATGACTGACAGGGCCCGACTGGACCTCAACTTTTCAGACACGGGCTATCGTCTAGAACAAGGCAATTGCTGTCTTGTGGAGCTGTGGAACTTAAAACCATCATCTTAAGGCTTAAAATAAAGAGGAAAACGTCCGATCAACTCTACAAAGAAGCCCATCAGCCCTTTTACGTTTCTAGAGAATACTGAAGCAAAGGGACGTTGACACAAAGCGCTTTAGCTAAGAGAGTTGACTCTCCCCTCTGCCCCACTCACCTCTTGGTGCGTGATTCGGACTCCGTTGTAAAAGGACACGACCGAGTTGGGCCCCGCCGCCGCCTTAGAAAACAGTCCTTCCCCAGCACTGGAAATGAGTGACTCAGCCACATAAACCCTAAACGGAAAACAGAATCGAATCGTCTTTCCAAGTTCAATACGTCACCCCTTACACCAACGGCCAAGACATCACTGTAGCCACTGAATCCAACACGTCCGTTCATAATAATCGATCAGAGAAGGAATGGAGGGAAAAAGAGGCTCGGTTCCAAAATTTCGGCCCTGGAAATGGAAGGAATGGTACCGCCTCAGCCTTCCGAGTAGCCAGAATTCCAGGCAGGTGCTACCACGCCCGGCTGATTTTTTGATTTATTGCAGAGATGAGGTCTCGCTGCCCAGGCGGGTCTCAAGCCCGCGGGCTCAGGCAGTCCGCTGCCCTCAGCCTCCCAAAGGCGCGGGATGACAGGCTGAGCCACCGAGCCCGGTTGCCTTTTTTTTTTTTAAAGCAGGATTTATTGAGAGGAGAGAAAAGCGCCCACAGTGGGAGGGGACCCGAGAGGGTTGCCCAGTTATGTCTTCTTTAAGAATAGAGTTTAAAATTTACTTTCTAATGAGGAAGACATAGTCTCAAAGCTACTCGGTTTTTAATATAAGGTAATTTTGGGGGGCAGAATTTTGTGTTTTCAGTTAATGACAATTTTCACCGTCTTAGTAAGGAACATGTTTTTAAAAGTTAATTAAAGTTATACCTCAGTTTATCAATACCCAATAGGAGGGAAAGACGGTTTCAGGTAAGCTCCAAGATGACTGTTTTGCATGAAGGAGTGACAATTAATAAAATATATCTGGCTGGGCACGGTGGCTCACACCTGTAATCCCAGCACTTTGAGAGGTCAAGGTGGGAGGATTGCTTGAGCTCAGGAGATTGAGACCAGCTTAGGTAACATAGTGAGTCCTCATCTCCAGAAAAAAATAAAAGACAGGTGGTGCACGCCTATAGTCCCAGCTACTCAGGAGGCTGAGGTGGAAGGATCACCTGAGCCCAAGAGGTCTAGGTCGTGGTGAGCTGTGATAATGTCACCTCACTCCAGCCTGGGTGACAGAGTGAGACCCTGGCTCAAAAAGAAAAAAGAAAAGAAAAGAAAGATATATCCAAAAAGCACTTTCCAGCAAAAGGGCTTATGATGGGCATTAGCTGACTAAGGCCCGAGGGTCAAATCTGTCTGCTGCTCATTTTTGTTAATAAAGTTTTATTGGGGCCAGGCTCAGTGTCTCAGCCTGTCATCCCAGCACTTTGGGAGGCCAAGGAGAGTGGATTGCCTGAGCCCACAGGTTGGAGACCAGCTGGGTAACTTGGCGAGACCTCTTCTCTACAATAAATCAAAAATTAGCCGGGCATGGTAGTGTGTGCCTGTAGTTCCGGCTACTTGGAAGGCTGAGTGGAAGGATCACCAGAGTCCAGCAGTTCGATACTGGGGTGGCCATGAGCATGCTATTGCACTCCAGCCTGGGTGACGGAGTGAGACTCCAACTAAAAAAAAAAAAGTTTTATTGGAACACAACCATACCTACTTGCTTAGACCTGTATATGAATGCTTTAGCCCTACAGAGGTAGAACTGAGTAGTTGCAACAGAGATCATATGGCCTGCAAAGCCTAAACGATTTATTACATGGCTCATTACAGAAAGTTTTCCATAAACAACTATTTCCTTCCTTGCTTCTGTCCTTCCTTCCTTCCCTCCCTCTTCCTTTCCTTCCTTCCACAGGTGCACGCCGCCACACCCAGCTAATTTTAAAATTTTGTTTGTAGAAGCAAGGCCTGACTATGTTGCCCAGGCTGGTCTTGAACTCCTGGGCTCAGGCAATATTCCCTCCTCGGCCTCCCAAACTGGGATTACAGTTGTGAGTCACTGCACTGGCCTTATTTTCGTTCTTTAGACACTGTGATAGAACGACCCTCAGGGCCGTCTGTCACTTTTGTTATGGGATCTTACGGGTATTCATGGATGGGAAGACTGAATTCTTGCTTTGACTCTTTACCCTTCCCTTGTGATGGGATGATCCAGCCTGCCACTGGACCATACTGCAGTGCCTCCCTCCAAGTGGCTGGAGGACACATCCCCGCTCTCCTGACTGCTCGCTGGGTCATGTGCTCTGCTTTGCTGGGAGACCACAGGCAGAAGTGACCACACATCAGGTCTCAGGTGCGAAGGGGCTTGGTGAGGTCCTGTTGGCCTCCTTCAGGGTCTTCACCAGCCCCGTGGGAAGAATGTGGGGGGAGGAGAGGGGAGGGGAGGGAGGGGTTGTTGCTTTTGCAGCCCGAGTCTTGGGAAGCAGACATGTGAAACAGACCTGAGCCCCACTTGAAGTCTGGAGTCCAGCCTAGGCCAGCTGAGCCCCACGGATTCCCGTCAAGAGGCTGGACCTCAGCCAGCCTAGGGAACCAAGGCCAGGAAATGGAATGTTTGTTGTTTGTTTTTTGATTCAGGGTCTCTGTCACCCAGGCTGGAGTGCAGTGGCACGATCACGGCTCACCGCCGCCTCGACCTCCGGAGCTCAGGTGATCCCTCTGCCTCAGCCTCCCAAGTAGCTGGGACTACAGGCGTGCAGCACCATGCCCGGCTATTTTTTTGGTAGAGAAGAGATCTCACTATGTTGTCCGGGCTGGTCTCAAACTCCCGGCCTCAAGTGATCCTCCTTCCTTGGCCTCCCCAGGTGCTTTACAGGCTCTAGCCACTACTCCCAGTCAAATGTGTGCTTTTGCAAACCACTAAGGTATCATTACGCAGCATTATTACCACAATAATAACAGAAATGACTGAGATGTACAGTTATGGCCCTGTTGTGTTTGGAGGCTAACAAAGAGACATGGCCCTTCTCTCTGCAACTGAGTCACAGTCTCACGTCAAAAAGAGGCCACTCATTCACTGTGACATTGTGGGGTCAGCCCTGCCCCTTAAATGGGAGAAGAAGCCGGATTCTCAGATGGGAATAGACACGGAATGGGAGGCAAGTCATGCTTACAGAGGGAGAGGCAGGAGAAAACCACCTTCAGATACACTCTTACTCATAAACACATCTTCTGGAAGAAGGGAACCAGAAGAATCCCAGAGAGGGATTCTTTCCCAGAGAAAGCCCCAAGAATCCAGAGCTAACGTTTAGGGATCTTCACAGGAAAGCCATAAAATCCAACAGGACTCAAGGGGGAAGTGAGCTAGAGCTAACAGAATCAGACGGTTGTCATTTCTTTTCTTTTTTTTTTTTTTTTGAGTTGGAGTCTCACTCTGTGGCCCAGACTGGAGTGCAGTGGCCGCTCCCGGCCACCGCAGCCTCGACCTGTTGGGCTCTGGCGATCCTGCTGCCTCAGCCTTCCAAGTAGCCAGAATTATAGGCATGCGCTACCACGCCCGGCTGATTTTTTGATTTATCGTAGATGAGGACTCGCTGCCCAGGCGGGTCCCGAACCCGTGGGCTCAGGCAATCCACTCGCCTCCAACTCCTGAGCTCACACGAGACTCCTGCCTCAGCCTCTTGAGTAGCTGGGACTACAGGTATGCGTCACCACATCTAGCTAATTTTTTTTTTTTTGTAGAGATGACATCTCACTATGATGCCTAGGCTGGACTTGAATTCTTGGACTCAGGCAATCCTCCCACCTTGGTCTCTCAAAGTGCAGGGATCAGAGGCATGAGCCACCACGCCTGGCCAGCAGCAATATTTTTCTGTCTCTTATACTTTTGTTTTACTTCTGTTCTCCCTTAGTGAAAAAAGACTCTGTCTTGTGTTCCAGAACACTTTAGCTGGACTAAGAAAGAAATGGAGAGCCGGGCTTGGTGGCTCAGCCTGTAATCCCGTGCCTTTGGGAGGCTGAGGTGAATGGATTGCCTGAGCCTGCGAGTTTGAGACCTGCCTGGGCAACTTGGCGAGACCTCATCTCTACAATAAATCAAAAATCAGCTGGGTGTGGTAGTGCGTGCCTGTAATTCTGGTTACTCAGAAGGCTGAGGCAGAAGGATCGCTGGAGCCCAGCAGGTCGAGGCTGCGGTGGCCGGGAGCGGCCACTGCACTCCAGTCTGGGCCACAGAGTGAGACTCCAACTCAAAAAAAATAAAAATAAATAAAATAGAAAAAAAATGGAGGCATCCTGCATTCACAGGCTAGAGCTTTTATTATTATTATTATTATTATTATTTATTGTAGAGACGAGGTCTCACCATGTTGCCCAGGCTGGTCTTGAACACGTGGGCTCAAGCAATCCTCTTGCCTCAGTCTTCCAAAGTGCTAGGATGACAGGCTTGGGCCACTGCGCCTGGCTCACAGGCTAGAGCTTTAAAGAGTATGAGCCCCTCCCCTAGAGGGACAGCATGTGACCGCAGGACAGACCCTGAGAAGGGGACACCAGGCAGGACACGTTCCAGGCCTACCACACAGGCTCTTCTGGTTTTTTTTGTTTTTGTTTTTTTCGAGTCGGAGTCTCACTCTGTCACCCAGACTGGAGTGCAGTGGCTGCTCCGGCCACCACAGACTCGACCTGCTGGGCTCCGGCCATCCTTCCGCCTCAACCTTCCGAGTAGCTGGATCTACAGGTGTGCGCTACCACGCCTGGCCAATTTTTTTGATTTATTGTAGAGATGAGGTCTTGCCAAGTTGCCCAGGTGGGTCTCGAACCCACGGGCTTAGGCAATCCTCTCTCCTCGGCCTCCCAAGGGGCGGGATTACAGCCTGAGCCACCGAGCCCGGCTTGTTCTGGGTTTTATGAGTGGAAAAACTCTCTTATAGGGACAGATTCTACATGAGCATAATCACGCGCTTCCTCAGGATATAGAAATATCTACTTGGACGGTGTGCAAAGGAAGGGACACTTTCACGAGGAGCTGGGTCCAAGCAGGACCCCGGCCTGGGCAGAGCCACGGTGGCGCACGGGGCCCCGCGCTCGGGCCATTCAACCTCACGGGAACGGTGCCACAAAGGCCACAAGAAAATACTCACCTTTCGGATTCATATGGATCTGGAAGAAGAGCATTGGTGGAGATGCAGGATGAAGTCGACTTATCAAAGTGGAACACCGCGTCTAAAACGCAAACACAAACGTCAGTCCAGGCACTGAGTCAGGAGAGGGCATTTGGAACGTTACACTCTATCCCTGGGACCAGGAAGAGTTAAAGAACTCAAACTGTTATTCAAGGGATACCAACTAGAATGAAATTCTTCCATTTAAATGGATTCTTTTTAGACTTACTCTATGGTTTTATTATTTTCAGGCCTTTTTTTTTTTTTTGCTGCAGAACCAAGGGCCACACTTGTTATTTTTCAAAGGATGCTGATGTTCGTTCAAATTCAACCTTAAATACATGAATTCTATTATAGCTAGCATGATTCAAATGAATCTTTCTGCAATGTTTATATCTTATGGAGTTATTTTTTCGTTAAAGATATTTTATTTTAATTTTCAATTTTAAAGATGTGGGGTGCAATTCAGGGTTAGGTATACAAATGTTTATTTTTATTTTTATTTTTGAGTTGGAGTCTCACTCTGTCGCCCAGACTGGAGTGCAGTGGCCGCTCCCGGCCACCACAGCCTCGACCTGCTGGGCTCCGGTGATCCTTCTGCCTCAGCCTTCCAAGTAGCTGGAACTACGGGCGCGCACTACCACGCCCAGCTACTTTTTGATTTACTGTAGAGATGAGGTCTCGCCAAGTTGCCCAGGCGGGTCTCAAACCCACGGGCTCAGGCAAATCCACTCACCTCAGCCTCCCAAAGCGCAGGATTACAGGCTGAGCCACCGAGCCCGGCTTACAAATGTTTATTATGCCTGTACCCTTGTTGATGAGGTGTGCCCCCCCATCCCTGGCAGTTTCCCACTATTGCCAATCCCTTTCTTATAGTATAATTGTTCAAGGTCTGCTTATGAGTGAGACCATATGGCCCTCTCTGTTCTCTGTTTCTGTGATAGATCACCGAGTATGATTGACTCTAAATCCATCCAAGTTGCTGCGAAGTCCATCTGCTTGTCCTTCTTTATGGCTGCATAATATTACAAATTTTCAGGTCTTAATGAACAGCCATCAGACGTATCTCTTAACATCCTTATACTGGCTCTTGAATTTTCCTTTTTTTTTGAATCAGAGACTCACTCTGTTACCCAGGCTGGAGTGTATTGACACACACATGACTCACTGTAGCCTTTGACCTCCCCACCTCAGGCGATTCTCCTGCCTCAGCCTCCTGAGCAGCCGGGACCAGAGGCACACACCACCACACCCGGCTAATTTTTTGTAGAGATGAGGTCTCACTATGTCACCCAGGCTGGTCTCAAACTCCTGGACTCAGACAATCCTCTTGCCTCGGCCTCCCAGAGTGTTAAGATTACAGGCCTTGAGCCACCATGCCCAGCCTTTGAATTTTCTTTATTTATCAACTGAATAAAAGATGTTTGGGTACTTAAAAATTTTAATCAATAAAGTGCTCTGTCATGACATTTTGAGATCTCCCTGCTCAGATCACACTGGAGGATGATTCTCAATTTTTCGTGTGGTTTGCTCATGCCAGATACGGTCTGCAGAATCCGATGACTGAGCGCTGGCAGCTGACTCCTTCCCTAAGAATAAACATTCTGCCTCACCAGAATGAAGAACAGCACAGCTTTGGATAAAGCATTACCAAAGCCACATTTCTGTTAAGGTGGTTCAGAAGCCAATGAGCAATTCCTTCCAGAAACTACGGTACACAACTGCCCCAGAATGGACGCCGGCTCTCTGCAAAGGATCAGCCTTGGAGAATCCTCACAGAGCGCACTGGAAACATAAGACGCTCTGAAGGATCATAAGGAAAGAAATAGGGTTTAGAACTGGAAGGTTTATTCCTGCAAGTGAACTATTGTATGCACTAGGGCATAACTAACAATCCCATTAAACAATCCTTCAGTGGTTGCCAACAGCTACCAGGTTCGCTTTCTGGTTTGTTTGTTTTTTTTGAGTTGGAGTCTCTCTCTGTTGATGATCCTTCTGCCTCAGCCTTCCAAGTAGCTGGAACTACAGGTGCAGGCTACCACGCCCAGCTAATTTTTGATTTATTGTAGAGACGAGGTCTCGCCAAGTTGCCCAGGCTTGTCTTGAACCCGTGGGCTCAGGCAATCCACTCATCTCAGTCTCCCAAAGTGCTGGGATGACAGGTTGAGCCACTGAGCCCAGCCTGTCTTTTTTGAGACAGGATTTCACTGTCACCCAGGCTAGAGTGCAATGGCACAATCATGGCTCACCACAGCCTTGAACTCCTGGGCTCAAGGGATCATCCTGCCTCCGTCTCCTGAGCAGCTGGGACTACAGGCAAGTGTCACCATACCCAGCTAATTTTTCTATTTTTGTAGAGATGAGGTCTTACTGTGTTGCCCAGGCTGGCCTTGAAGTCCTGGGCTCAAGAGATCTTCCCGCCTCAGCCTCCCAAAGTGCTGGGATTACAGCTGTGAGTCACTGCACCTGGTCTTTTTTTTTGGTACTGTCAAAAGCCAATTAACAGGACGTAGTGGCTCACACCTATAATTCCAGCACTTTGGGAGGCGAAGGCAAGAGGCTTACCTGAGCCCAGAGGTTCGAGACCAGCCCTGGCAACTTGGCAAGACCTTGTTTAAATAAACAAAAATTAGCCAGGCATGGTGGCGCATGCCTATAGTTCCAACTACTTGGAAGGGCGAGGTGGAAGGCTCTTCTGAATTCAGGAGGTCAAGGCTGCAGTAGCCATGATCGTGCCACTGCTCTCCAGCCTGGGTGACAGAGACTCTGACTTAAAACAACAACGAAAAAAAAACCACACACAAAAAACCCTGAATTAATGCCTCAGACTAAAAGTTGGAAAGCAAGCCTCCAAACTGGTCAATGTCTGAAACAGACCGTTTGAGTATTTCAGGGAGAACTCAGTTCAGGGAGTGGCTTATGCAGACAGTAGAAGAGCTGAACAGGGCGGCCCGAGGAGCCCAGAAACTGGCCTGACCAGGAAGCTGCCACACCGAGCCAGAGGGACATAGGAAGCCAGTGAGCTAGGGACACAGGAACAGGAGGGGGGTGGGGCTTCCTGATGGGAGACGGAATCGGGAGGGCATCTTCCTGTTCTGTTCCTGGCTTTGTCTCTGGCCATAGGCTGCCCTTTGGCCAAAGCCAGACCGAAGTCAGATGCACTGGAATCTGGGAAATGAAGTACGCAAGGGGCTTTTTTTCTTTTTTTTTCCTTTTGTAGAAAGAAGGTCTCGCTATGTTGTCCAAGCTGCTCTTGAACTTCTAGGCTCAAGCAATTCTTCCACCTTGGTCTCCCAAAGTGCTGGGATTACAAGCATGTGCATCCGGCCCAATCCCAGCACTTTGTGGGGCTGAGGTGAGAGGATCGCTTGAGTCCAGGAGTTCGAGACCAGTCTGGGCAACATAGCAAAACCTCATCTCTACAAGAAAATAAAAAAAAAAACTGGCCAGGCATGGCGGCATGTGCCTGTAGTCCCAGCTACCTGGGAGGCCGAGGTAGGAGGATTGCCCGAGCCCAGGAGGTTGAGGCTGCGGTGAGCCATGATCGTGCCACTGCACTCTTGCCTGGGCGACAGATTGAGACCTCAACTCAAAAAAAAGAATGGTAATAAATAAATAAATGCAGGTCACGTATCGCTTAAGGATGGGAATATGTTCTGAGAAATGTGTCAATAAGCGACATCGTCATGATGCAAACATCACAGAGTGTCCTTACACAAGCCTAGATGGCCTAGTACACACCCAGGCCATATGGCATGACCAGTTGCTTCTAGGTTACAGACCTGCATAGCATGCTATTGTCCTGAATACCGCAAGCAACTGAATCTCACTGCGAAGGATTTGTGTATCTGAACATATCTATACACAGAAAAGGTATGTAAAATATGGCATCGTCTTAGGGGGCCCCCACAGTTTCACAGTCCATGCAGTGGACAGAAAAGTTGCAAAGACAGTACAGAGAGTTCTCACCATTTCTCCATATGCCAACATCTGACATTACTATGAACTAAACTTTAGACTTTTTTTAGATTTCACCAGTTTTTCCACTAACGTCCTTTTTCTGTTCCAGGATCCAATCCAGAATCCCACATTGCATGTAGACTGCCTCAATTTTTTACTTAAGAAAAAAAACCCAGAAAAGACATTGAAAGCAACCCAAATTGGACCTAAATATAAACGCTGTATTTCCCATTCTCGGACAGCTTTCCCCTGGAGATTCTTCAGACCCCAAATAACGCAATATTATTTAAGCCTGTGAATGCCTAGAGTGATAACCTTTTCTGCTTTTTTCCTCCTTATGATCTGACCTGGATCAGAAGCACATGCGTACATTGTTTCCAAGGAATCAGACCAACTCAGACAGCTTTCTTAGGCGGTGCCACTCAAAATGCCACATCTTGAGTTTTCCATCGCACGTTACTCTGTCTTGCCCAGATTTTCTACACTTAATGATTTTATACTCAGAAGAAATATTTTAGCATGGCTTGTTGCACCTCTAAAGGAAGTAAGCCTTTTCTAATATCGATTCCACTGGGTTCACCCACGCGCCTGGTGCAACACGCTGGCCTCTGAAGAGGGCGGCTGGGACCAAGACACATTTCTATTTTTTATTCAGCACTCAACTTGAGTCAGCCTGACAGTCGTGCCAATCTAGAGATGCACCTACCTGGTTTAGTCCTTCAATATCATGAAATTGTAGTTTCGATTTCTGGCACTGAGACCATTGGAAGTCATTGAATTACAGCTGTCATTCCCTTCCTCCTTCCTTGTTTTGGAATTATGTCGCTATGTCTTTTGTCACGTGACTTTTCAGTGTCTCTCACTAACATGCAAGGCATAATTTCTTGGTCTCACCGATGTCTGACTTCACCGTATGACTTGCTCTGACTAATGAAGAGGGAGTGAGGCCAGGTGTGGAGGCTTATGCCTATAATCCCAGCATTCTGGGAGGCTGAGGTGGGAGGAGTGTTTGGGCTCAAGAGTTCGAGACCAGCCTGGGCAACATAGAGACACCTTGTCTCTACCAAAAAAATAAATAAATAAACCGGGCTCGGTGGCTCAGCCTGTAATCCCGCGTCTTGGGAGGCTGAGGTGAGTGAATTGCCTGAGCCCGCGGGTTTGAGACCCGCCTGGGCAACTTGGCGAGACCTCATCTCTACAATAAATCAAAAAATTAGCCGGGCAGGGTAGCGCGCACCCGTAGTTCCAGCTGCTTGGAAGGCTGAGGCGGAAGGATCGCCAGAGCCCAGCAGGTCGTGATTGTGGTGGCCGGGAGCGGCCACAGGACTCTAGTCTGGGTGACAGAGTGAGACTCCAACTCAAAAAAAAAAAAAAA